GGCACAGTAAACGTTTTTGTGAAGATCTACCCAGATCTATGTGACAGTGGAATATAAATAAGGCTCGTTTGGCATTTATCAATCAGCCAACTTATGCCATCTCTGGCTTAGTATACGTGATAATTTGGCTGACTGTCAATCAAAGGACGTGTGTACTGCTCAGCAGCAGCAGTAGCAGTTATCTCCGTCCTCCTTTATCAGGGTGAGTAAGACATGGCCTTTGAAAGTGGAAGACATGGAAAGCTTGACTTGCTATCTTTGACTATAGGTGCCTACGTACTATCTCTCATGTTAGGTGGTATCACTGAAGGACAGACACAATTAAGATATCATAAATCCAGTGACATGACTGTTAATCTACGTTAGGAACAAATGACTGAATCACAAAATATGTCCTTCTCCCCCAGTATATTCGATAAATCACTGACAGATGTATAGAAATTGTTTTAGTAATAGCAGATGATCTCTTCACAGCAGAGCAGTGATGAATATCATCACCGGGTTCGATTCCAGACGTAAGGTAGACTGGTCAACTATGCAAAGTCTTAAACTTATAAGGAAATATTATTTGTCTATATATAGTCATTAATTCGCCTGTTGATATTTCTGTACTGGATGGATCATCCCTCGTTTTGGCATATCGGCTTCTTGAAAAGATACATGTTTTCAATATTACGGTGATTGGTAAATTGTCCATTACTAGTTTATGGGGGGGGGACGTCTTTTCTCATTCGAGACTTGTCAGCTGGTCCTCCTGCTGAGATATTCCTACACCAAAGTGATTAGCCTCATTTTGCTCCAAGTTTCAATAGGAACACTATCAATCACTCGAGATGTAGATAAATCGAGCTGATGAGTTTTAAATAGGACACAAGTGGTGTCCTGCTACCCCTTGCTAGTCATATACACGAAACGTCACTTTGTACTAGGGACTGATATGGGCTCACTCACACTTCTGTTTATTATTTATGTCTCTATCTTTTAAATCTCTCTCTTTCTTTACTCTCTTCTCTTGCTTTGTGAGCTACATGGAGAGATATTAGTAACTCGAACTCTGCTGCACACCTGCGCAAAATTTTTCTATGTTAAAACCAGTCAGTCATGGTGGTGCAATCCTCTTCTTAATCTTTATCTCAGCTGCATGCTGAATATGGGTGTTGCCTTCTGGGAAGAATAAACAGCACGAAATTTTGGTGGTGAATCATTTAAGAACCTGTCACTCCATAAACCACCTGCAGAAGAAAGTGAATATGCATTGGACATACTTTTAGGAGACATTATAAGCAAGCATCACACTCTAGGTCTTAAAGTAAGCCCGGAATGAGTCGTGACAATTTGGACATCCTATGATGAGATGGCTAGTCCAGTCGGTAGACTACTAGCCAGCCGCACCTCACATGGCCTGGATTTGATACCCGGATGACACACCTCGGTTAATCTCGCTCAACCGGTATTAAACATAGTGAAGAAGGGAAGGCTGGCTGTAAGGCTAACAACCCACCCACCCCCCACCCCCGACAGCACGTCATAAGAAAACATCACCAACACTACTGAAACTTGAAAACTCAAGTCTGAAACCGGTATGTTTCACTGAGAATGCAGAAACATGGAGCCGGTTGAAAATGACGTGAGAAAATCGAGTGCTCTTGAGGCTGTATATGTATGTTTCTTTCACATAGAACTCAAACGACGATGTAGGGTAATAATGCTTTCCTAATTTCCAAAAATTCAGAGTATATCTGTTCAATGTTGTTTTTTTTCCAACATGTGTAGCATATTAGTCATCAATGAATAAAATTACTCATCTCATTCTTCATCACATCTGAAGCCAAGTGTTTGATAGTTGACTGACTGAGTTGACTGTTTACAGTGTCAACCTTGTGCTTTGTCCTCTTCTCTTTCTGGAAAGCCTGGACACATGTAAAGCTTGTCAACCGGAAAATTGATTCATTCTGCTTAATCCATCCAAGCATAGACACACAATGTTTGTTTTCCCATTAGACAACTCATGATACTTTCTTATTTATCATGACTCATCGGTTCGCTCCCCCTTCAAAACATAGTGTGCCATCTACTCTATTCATAGAGTCGCTAGACTTTCGATTTCTCCGCACCCTCCCTCCCTCCCTCCCTCCCTCATCCGCTACCCCGCATTATCTTAATTTATCATTCATTTTGTCTATATGAGAAAGGGGAAGAGGAGGCACAAGTAGGGGAGAGAGAGAGAGAGGCAAATGGTAAAAAGGCGCGTGGGCGCGCGCTTACACATACACACGACTCTAGCATACTTCGTTTATAGCACATTGTGTTTTCATCATTTGTGAAAGAGAACGAAAAATCTAAGTGTCCACCAATCGAGTTGTTAGCCAATGCATAGGAAAAAATATAGAATAATTAATTAACAACATTCTTCTGTTCTTCTTTTGTGTGCGTGTGTGTGTGTATGTGTGCGTTTTCCGCCTGTATTCCTTTTTTCTCTTTTTTCGATTGCCTTCGATTGTTTTCGTCCTTTTTCCCTGCTTTTAGTATATAGATATGTGTGCATGTGTTTGTGCGTTGTGTTTGTGTGAAGGTGCGTTGATTCTATCGAATACATGTCATGTAAACGTGTCCTTCATCCACCCACACACACACACTCATATACATGTGTCGATGGTGCGTGCCTTTTAGACAAACTAGGGTCAAATGAGTCAGTAATTATCATCGTTATTATTATTATTATTATTATTATTATTATTATTATTATTATTACTATTATTCTCTGTTTATCATAATTACCACAACAACCAATATCACTCTGAGGATTGTGCTGACAATGACTATGCCGGTGCTACGCATCATTGTGTTAAGGCCTAAAACATTATAAGGTAGTAAATTTTAAGGTAACACATTCTTTGTCTGTTGTTAATCTTTATCACCATTGGCTGGCTGGCTGGCTGCCTAGTTGAATATTCATCTTATTTTAATTTTGGGTATACCCTATATTGGTTTCTTCTTTGATTATCTTGCCTGAGTCATCCTCTATTGTTGTTTATTTTCGGACACGTTTATCTTACCTACTACTACCTTCTTATGTGAATAAATAAATAAATAAAAATAAAAAAACAGCGTAGAGTATTTCATTTCAAACAATGCACCACAGGATATGAAATATAAAGTTGATGTGCGAGTAGAAGATGAGAACAACAGTGTAATAGTAACGAGGATAGGAAGACAAAAACAACTAATGGGACTATTTGTTAGAGTGCCGCATTAAGTTGATCGTGTCAATTATAAAAAAAGTTCAGGAGTAAACCGATGACACCACTCAGAAACGATCATCTCATGTGTTAGGATAAGCTGCCATCGAGGATAATACATTTTAACATGTTTAGTAGAAACTTGCATCGAATCACAACAGGTTATATATACATATTTTAAATACGTGCTAGAGTAAACGACACTATTAGAGGTTATATTTTACTAAATTTAAACAAATTGAATAAGAGAAATTATATGCAATATACTGATCAAGGTTTCCGATAGCCCATGTTTTAAGCGGGCCGCCATTAAAAATGATTGGAATGCAAGCTTTAGTCATTTTTTTTCTGTTAACATTTTGAAGATAACTAAGCTGCATTAGTTGAACCGTATTCTTCTATATGCCTCATTATTTTCGCCTTTCTTTGTCCAAATGAAACTTTATTGATTTATTGATTATTATTGTGATTATTCCCTTGGATTCCGAATGGAACATAGGGCTTCAGTAGCGCATGGCGATTTCACTTTGTCCTCTGCAGCCCACCCACTTTTGCTGGTTCCACGATAGCTCATAAGCTTTTGATTGGGTACCAGTAACTAGTGTACTGTGTCTAGTGCCTTGTTTACTGCTGACTGAATTCTATCAGTCAAGTCGCCATCAAGGTACACGCAGGATTGTTATTTTTAGATGGTTGAAGGCAATCGGTAGGAAGCCCTGCTTGGAACTAGGTTTCGTACTAGTTGGAACTCACCACTCAGTCAGCAAGCCATGTGTGCAACCTTGAAGGAACTCGTGTCATCCAGTACTGCTGTAGAGACGTTACTACTAAGCTACCCGGACTCATGACTGACCTCCTGTATGAGTGTATTGAATATTTCGATTGAACTGTAGTAACTAGTGTGATGTGTGTCTAGTCAAGATAGCTCAGTGGTAACGTCTCTGACTGAAGTACACTGGGTGACATGAGTTCGAGTCTCCGATGGGGAATATGAGTTCCTTCAAGTTTGCAGATACGCCCTGCTGGCGAGTGCCAACAAGCACGAAACCTGTGTCCAATCAGGGCTTCCTTCTGATTCCCTCCAACCATCTCATACGCTTTCGTTTCTTCCCCACACGATCTCCTCCATGTCACCTTTGGCTACTTGAATCGTCGTTTATATTCACGAGTTCCACCACTAGAGAGCTAGCGAAATAGGGCGTCTGTTGATGAAAGTCTTCAACAGGCCACTGATAATTCTTTTCGTGAAACTCGCACCGAGTGTGTAAAGCATACAAAAGGCAGTGAGATTTGACATTCGTGTGTTGAAGTAATGAAGATCTGTCTAACTTCTCCGATCCTGGATAACTGGCTGGCTGCCTAGCTGGCTTTGACATCTTCATCTCTGCGTCGGCGGCACAGTGGTTAGGACTCTCGCCGACCATGCACATGGTCCGGGGTTCGAGCCCACGCCGGCGCACACCTGATATCTATGGTCGGCCTGCGAAATTTGGGCTACCGATATCCATGCTGAAGATTCCATACTTGTACCAAAAATACAGTGTGACATCAAACTGTAAATCAAAAATCAAACGATGGTACAGTTGGCAGGGATTTATGCTTGTTTGTTCGTGTGTGTATGTGTGTTTTTGTTGTTTTTCTTTTTTTGTTTAGGCATCTTAATAACTTTTAATTATCCTTTTTAATTAATTAATTAATTAGTCATTAAATGATTAATTGATCTTTTTTTATTTTCTATTACATTTGATGATGATGTGTTAGGCATTATCATCCAATGCAAATTTGATATTCACTCGACCAGAATGGATATTTGCCTGTGATCGAACAGGTCAATTAGAAGCTTATGGATTATATCAGGTTAAACCGTTATAACGGATATTTTGGTTAAGTAGTCATGGTGATGAAGAAGATATTTTGAAGTTAATTTGTTGAATGACAAGAAAGGCAAGCAAGCAAGCAAGCAAATTGGTGTAGCGCGATTTTTGTCACTGTCAAACCCTTTGTTAATAGAGAGAACTTCTGTACACCCTGTTTTTTTTTCCTCGCCATGCTCTTCTCTCTTTCTTCTACTAAAATCTTAGTGGAGAAGGAAGTTGTTCAACCTTCTTACTTGCTTACTCATTCTCATCACTGTCTTCATCTCGTTTTTCTTCTCTCGCTCTCTCTCTCTCTTGGATGCTGATCACTTTTCGAATCGCCTTTTCGTTGTAGATTTTGCTCCGCCATTATCCTTATGTACCGGTGTGGTGTGTGTTTCAGTTCTACTGTTTTATATTCTTACCATTTTGATTATTGTGTTTTTTAAGTCATATAATTTTGTGTATAATAAACATACAATAAATATAAATAATAGATTGCCTCTGGTTTATTCACTCATTCCCTTGTTGAACGAGTCTCTTATTGTTTGTTCTCCTGGGCTCTGAGTGGGACTTACAAATTCAACAGAACATCTTCACTTACATCCTATTCTCTTTGCAGTCCTCTTCAGTTAACTAGTTCCACAATTGCCAATAGTCTCTCATTGCTTCCTCTTACGATCTTCCTCCTACAATGTCACCCTCGAAATGATGCTCCATTCATCGATTTCCCATTGGGGTTCCACTCGAGGTAATGCTTGCCTGGCACACGGTACTAATATCAATGGTCTCCTCAATGACATGTGTATCCAATCCATCTCCATTTTCTCCTCAGGAAGGAAGGAAGGAAGGCTTTATGTGCTTTTGGAAGTGTGTGTGTGTGTGGGCGGTTGTTACTTCCCGACTGCTCACACCGTGGAAGTTGATTGATTCTTCGGGTACCTGAAATATAGAAAGAAGGTTAGTATTGTGTGAGCGCAGAGCACAGGGGACAATTGCTTGATACTGGCCGGTCACACACACACACGGCGCGTATGAACTGGTTTCTTGGATTGGTTTGTTAGGCAATAGATTCTTGGTCAGTTTAATTGAATTTTTGATTTTCCCGTCGATTGATTGATTGATTGGACCGAAGTGCTCGGTCTCTCACGTTGACATGTCTGTTGGCTTCTTGTGCAGATGCTTCGACGATGTCTGAGCATGTGATTAGAATTTAATTAGTGGATGATGACTGACTAGCAGTGGAATCCAGTCAGGATAACGCGCATTTCGTCCTAATTAGGACTCGTCAGCTGAATATGCCTGCATTCCCCAGTGAGTGATGATGTTCCCACCACCGAGGCTCGAACCCAGTGTCCACAGTTTCAAACGCGAAAACATTATCTCCTAGACCACTTGGGCCACGAGAGCCACCTGAAAACGAGCACTTCAGTCGAATCAATTGACGGGATAATCTAAAATTCAATTCAATAATTAATATGACCCGTTGCACAAGAGGTGGCTCCTGTGGCCCAAGTGGTCTAATGGATAATTCTTTGGCGTTTGAAACTATGGGCACTGGGTTCTAGCCTCGGTGGTGGGAAAATCATCACTCACTGGGAAATACACAGGTGCATCGTCCCAACTAGGATGAAATGCGCCTTATCCTGGATTCCACTACCAGTCACCATCCACTAATTAGATCCTTAGTTAGTTTGTCCCCTGAGCAGAGTTTCTTGGTACTAATTCTTTCTGGCCAGCTGGCCATTTGATCTTCAATATGGTGGAGGTAGTGAAGGGGCCAGTTGTTGACAAAAATCTACAGCTGGCTGTTGGAAATGCTTTCCGTGATGCGAAGGCAGTGCAAGTTTCTGACCCATATAGAAAAAGAACTGATTTAACATGCATGAATGAGTCTAAGGAGAGTGTGTGTGTGTGTGTGTGTTAATGATTCGCTAGAGATAATTAGCACACCATAGTGATATGCTTCGTTATTTTTGCCTGCTTTTCAACTCTTCTGCTGTGGCAAGTGCTACTGACAAGATTCTGTTATTAGTATATTGTGTGTGTGTGTGCGTGCGTGTGTGATGTATTCTGTAAGAATATTGATGAATAGCGGATAGGATGGATTAAATGGTGACAAGGAGAAGAAATGAAAGTTCTTTGAGCGAAACTATACATAGAAATCATATGAGTAAGACAAAAGAAGCATAATACATATGGTGAAAATGAGCAAATAGATATTTCAATTTAAGGCACCTGTATTTTTGTCACTAAACAGTTAGTGGCCATCAAAGTCCCCAAACACACACACACAGCATAAAGACGATGATTTGTCAATAAATCTATATCGTTCTACCAAAAAGAAAAAGCACAACAAGAATAACATCAAAAATCAGACACGCATACAGTCACAAAAGATTGGTTGGGGGATTTCATCATGAGCTGACATCAGTCAGTTAGAAAACCATTGGAAAACCAACTGGGAGGAGTACTGGACAGCCAGCTGTTTCGTCCGCCTAATTTGAAAAGGGCAAAAAATATGCCCCACTGCAAATCTCAGAAGTGCACAAGTGATTATGTCACATCTCACATTATATACCAATTTACGCGCGTGTGTGTGTGTATGTTGACGAATATACCTAGAGAGGAGTAATCGCGATTTGCATATTCTGTATTGGTTAGAAATACAAATGAACTTTGGAGAAACGATAGATACAGGTGGCGGCAGACTATCTCTAAACATCTAGTCGATATGACCTACAAGACTGATGTCGAAACGTCTTTTAAGGTAATTTTTGCAAATGTTGAAGGGTGCTTATTGAAGTACGCTGAAGCGTTAGCTAGTCTAGTGGGAGACTGTGACCAATCGGGTACAACAGGTTGAAAGTGAGGCATTAACTCATCGAAGAAGACATTGAGAAATGGTTGCACTATGTTATGAATTGGCAGGAGTTAGAATTCATGGGCTGGCCACTGGATCAGTGGGTCTCAGTGGCTTCATGGTCTACGAGCTCGCCAGCCTTGGAACTGGAAGGTTGTGGTTTCGAACCCATGTGGTGTATGCCTACGGTGAGGAGTCCTAAACTGGGGCGAAACAGCTGGCTGTCCAGTACTCCTCCCCGGTGGTTTTCCGATGGTTCTCTAACTGATACCAGCTCATGATGAAATCTTCCAACGAATCAAACAAAACTCCTACAAAAATCCACTACTTGAAAATGTACCAAAACGATGATTATTCCTCCTTACAATCTGTGACTCTATTGAATTCACAATTACTCGAACAGTGCAGTTAGGCAGGTAGCTATAAAATCCAATCCAGCTAATTTTCTGAGTACGAAACAAGAACTGTAGAGAGAAAAAAAATAGTTAACGAAATTTCAACTGTAACAAGTACCTTAGAATCAAGCAGCATATTCCCAACATGGTGAAATCATAAACTCTGTCCACATGAATCACACACACACCAGCACTTCCCACAGACAATCCCGTGTCAGAAGAATGACACTTTGATTCATTCAAACAAAATCACATCGTAAAACAACAACATTATCAATGTCATGACACAACCAACCACCACCACCGCCGCCATAGACAGAAGCATTCAAAATTAGAGATTTAACAAGGATAAAGACAAATAATATGGATCAATCAAGCCAATATGTGATATGTAAATGTCAGAACAATGATACACATACAGTCTAGGAGAAAAAAGAAGGGATAATAATTAATTATTAGTCATCTCTCCTGGTCAGTGACCTTGAATGTTGTGACTGGTTGTTTCTGTGTGTTTTTACACCTTCTAGACTACTTGCATTGGAACTAATTGTTTCCCTGACTTGAACTTTGATCCTGTGTGTGTGAGAGAGAGAGAGAGAGATTTCCTTCTTATCGGTTGGTAAATGTTGTCTATCTCGATGAGTCTATTGATTGACGATTCACTGGAATACCAGACTGGCTTCTAAAACCATTCTGTAGCATTCTTGGTGTTTCCTCTGTCTAACATTTGAACACTGGTTGTCCCAGTCGAACTGATGTCCGTGGTTGTCTATATGTAGTAATATGAGGATATCATATCTTTTGACGGCTAACTTATGTTCGTGGATACGAAGACGAAGGGGACGTCCACTTTGACCAATTTACTGTTTTTCGCGGTGGGTACAATTTATTTTGTAGATGATGTTGGCTTTATCTTCTTTCGCTGTTGAGTCTTATGGTTAACATAGAATTGAGTGGAGTGACTTTGTTGGTTTGTGTACGACGTCAATTCCTAAAGGTTTGAAGAGTCTTGTAGTGATTTCTGAGATCTCCTTTATATATGGTAAGGCGATTTTCTTTGTGCTTTCTTTGGGGGCTTTTGGTTTGATAGGTTGGCTTGTGTGTATATGTCTTTTGATGAAATTCCGTGGATATCTATTCTTTTGGAAGATGTTCATGAGATAGTTTAAGGTGGGAGTGCTTGAATGAGTCCTCGATAGCCCTCTTGAATAGTGTTTGTATGCAATTCCTTTTGTGTGTTATTGGATTGTTGCTGTTGTAATTCAGGATGTCGTCTGTGTGAGTTGATTTCCTGTAAACTTGAGTTTCTAATTCCCCTGTGTTTGTTCGCTTGACTAAGACGTCCAAAAATGGTATTCTGATGCTAATGCAGTATTGAACTGTGGGAATAGTTCAGACGTTAACACCAACAAATACTATGATTCAAGTATTGGTTTGTAGGGATTTGTTTGATTGGTTACAGGATTTCATCATGAGCTGAGATCAGTTAGAGAACCATCGGAAAACCTAGGAGTACTGGACAGCTATTTCGTCCTAGTTCGGGACTCTTCAGGAGAAGTTAGAGTTCATGGACCATTGGATCGGGTCCCAATGGCTTAGTGGTATACGAGCTTGCCTTGTAACCAGAAGGTCCTTGGTTCGAATCCCGGTGGGTGCGTACTGTTGAAGAGTCCCAAACTAGGACGAAACAGCTGTCCAGTACTCCCAGGTTTTCCAATGGTTCTCTAACTGATCTTAGCTCATGATGAAATCCTGTAACCGAATTCTATGATTCGTATTGTGAGAATAATATTTCGTTGGAACTGATTGCCTTCTATCATACCACAACACTCCAGGCATCACAGAAGGCATGAGAAGAAAGTAAAGAGAGATTCAAAAAAGAGACAATGAAGAAAGCTGTCAGGCGAAAAGAATCGTGATATCCATGATCAATATCAATAGAATTTTACTAGAAATTATCAATCATAAAGAGTGGATGAATCACCACCAACCATACAAACAGTTATCTACAGCCTCTGTTTGGTTCTTACCATCCCAAGGACCCAAACCAGCCAATCAGCAAGTCTACACGCCCCTACGTGACTGGTTGGCTGGCTTAAATTAACTGTTATGGATTTCATTGACTGATGAATCCATGTTTTCGTTTGACCACCATGTGCAGGCTCTTTTCCAACCTCATTGATCCTATATCAGCTAACATTGTCCGTCGACGAAGGTGATGCGTGGCTAGGCATGCGTAACACATGTTCTAACTACCTCACTCAGT